GTACCTTTTTTGAATAACTTTGTGGTCAATGTTCTTAAAGATATCGTAGGATTTCTCCGAACAATCTGTCCAATGGACCTTGAGCATTCAGGTGTGATTTTTGTGGGACGATCGCTGCATTTTTTGTGGGCTGTACTTCGGGTTTTCTTCAATTTTGAAATGTTATAGTAGATAGTCGTCCTCGCAATATTTGTTAGACGATGCATTTCGCCTGCACTTTTGCTCTGAAGCCAGAAATGCTCAATAGTTTGGACATGGGTATTTTTCTTGGTCGTCGGCATTTTCGTTCGCTCTTTTTAGAAAATATATCAATAAAATTTGGCAGTAAAGTGACTCTTGTAGCACCGAATATCTTATCCCTTTTTATTTGGATCGATTAAAAAAAGCTTTTGACATGTGATGATTGTGTTTTGGGAGAACCATTACGTTTAAACGCATTTATATAATGAATTCGAATACATGTACTCATCAAATATCACATACAAATTTATGAAATTGAATAATACATTACATGTCAGTACATGTAAAAAGAATACATGCATGTATTCGAAAAGAGAAATTGTGTATCATGTCTTTTAACTTGGTAAAGAACAATAGCAACGATCAATAATTTAAATGAGTAATATTTCCGGCATCTATTAAATCAACAATAATCACGATTATAAAAAAATAATTGATAAATCATCCTGTGAAAACTGCAATTCGACTAACTTTTCCTCACGGTACTGGCTCAGAGTATCGAAAAAAATTCATTACGTATTGACCCGTATTGAGTATTCATTCAGAACTGGGATTTTAATTATTTCTTAATATCTTAAAAACGGAAATCAATGGCGGAATCAAAAATGTAATAATAATCATGATTGCAAAAGAAACTCAACTTTAAATGATTAGGCATAATAACACTATTTTTCAACATGCTTATCATATGTTTTATTTGTACATTTCTTTAGAAAAAAAAATACGCTCAAAGGAATATGGGGAAAATGTGCTATTCGATCATGAATCAAGTCAACTACTGAATAAAATAAAAACGTTTTATTTATTTAAAACATTATTTTTTAATTAAAAAAAAGTATACCCGAAAGCTTTTTTGTAATTTTCATAACACAAGAACTCCGCTCCGCTCACAATCTCACATAACCAAAAATCAAATCATCCAACTATAAATATCTGCTATGACTTCTACTTCTAGGTTATAAAAATTTGAAATCCAAAAAATAATAAAGAATCCAATAAAAAACATCGAGCAACACATTTTCCCCATATTCTATGGCAATACCTAATATTAGTTGAAAATAAATTATTTTTTATAAATTATTTTTAGGAATTAGGTGTCATTCACATTATCCTCCTCATCAGTATCTTGCTTATCATTCAGGTTCGAGCTGCTAGTTCTCTTAATTGTTCTCGAGCTTCTTGGATTATTGATGAAAATCTAATTAGAATTTTATGAAGTTACTGAGGGTATCAATTTCAATATCTGAATCCAACTTATCAGAACTTAGCGAGTGAAAAACCTTTTACTTCTACTAGTAGATAACAGCTAGTTTCATAATGGCAAATAAACCAATTTTTAAAAGAAAGAATAACAAAATTCCTGCATTACCTTTTTTATTTGAAAGATGAGGCGTTTACTTCAGTATCTAATTCCTAATTACAATCATTACCTATTTCATTCTCAAAGTTATTATTCACTTTCTCATCATTCTCTTGCTCTTGTTTGTCTTTTTCTAACTCCATCAGATATGAGCTATATATATTGCCAAATAATAATACACATGACAGTACACACATCCTCCAATATATAGCAACACATATTCGCTGAGGGATAAAGAATATGTATAGCTATATATATGCTGTTTGTATGCTGTTATGTGCATTAATATTTATTAGCCTCTTTCTAAAACAGATTCAATATTAAAATAGGATGTGTAATATGATTTTTACTTTCTTTTATTTTGTTGCTCAAAGAACAATCCGGTGATGATTAAACAAAAAGGCTTTGGTTTATATATTATCTGATATATGTTTTTTCGCTTTTTTTTGAAGAGATAGTATGGCTTTTTTCATTTTTTTTGAAAAACGAAGAAAATTAAGATATGACATTTTTTTATTTAAAAAAAGGTAATATGACTTATATTTTCTCTTTTTTTTGTAAAGGTTAAGATGTGACTTTCGAAAAGAAAAGAATACTTTATTATTGAAACCTATTTTATACTAATACTAAAAAAATGGATACATTATGTAAAAGATTAACAGGAGCTACTTATCATACATGTACATGTACATGTATTAGACAATTGCATCAACATGTAAAAATGCCCTAATCAATTTTCTTTAAATTACGTTGTAATCGAAAAATGAAATAGTTTACCCTAATTTAAGCAGGATCATTAATTTAGGTTTACAATATTTGTTAAGACCAAAAACAAAAATTTTCTGACAATTTTTTGTTTCCTCCTAGAAAGGAATATATTCGGGATTTTCAAATTCAACCACAGTGAGCGCTATTTTTTATTTTGCTAATGCATTTTTAGCTATCTTTGGGCTTATAGCTACATCCGCTTACATCATTTATCATGAGTATTGGGATAGTTAAATCGCAAATCTATAACAACTCGAATATTATAATACAAAAAATTTAATTAAATAAATTCATCACATTATTGATAATAACATTCTAGTATTAAAATCAAACCGGGTAGTATGAAGCATAAAACGCTGTTATCGAGGAAAATTAAGCGATAGTTATCTCAAGTGACGGTAAACCTTCTCCAGTAAAATTTTTTATAAAATGATTATATATATCTTAATGTGTTAAGTTTACAGATCCTATTATATTTTCTAAAATGTTAACATATTTCAAGAGTATAACAGACAATACAACACAAGTCAATAACAAAATGTCTATTCCATATGAATCCAACAATTGTAACTTTTATTTGAAATAGTGAATCGTAGCAGCCGTAAGCAACATATCCAAATCATCCGCCACACATAATGCATTATTGATAATGATTTGGGATTTGGTCATTTCTGGATTATCGATAGAACAGATAAGATCGAAAAGTTCTCTAGTATATGTAGTTGGTCATTTTCCTGGAATAGGACCCCAACATTTTTCAATAAATATTAAAGATTATTCCAGACAAGCAAAAAACTCATTGAAATCCTTGGTTTTAAACATTTTGTTATTGAAATGAATAATCTTTAGAAACTATGAAGAAATAACTTTAACATTAGACTTCTATGCATCAGAAACATGGATATATATCAAGAATGACATTCTTTTTACACGCACAAATGAGGTGTGACCCCTATTAATGTTAAATGCTACAATAATCGTTATAACATCAGTTCACATATTTATTTTCATATACAGAGTATAGCATACAATACATAAAAGTTGGAATATTTTATAAAGCGAATTCAGAAAAATGAGACTCACAATACTCATTATTACCCTGTAAATATAAATATTATCAACGAACTATATCCTTGAATGGTCTGATAAATAAAGATCATGCATGATAATTTGAATATTTTCGAATTCTATCAATGCTGATATTTCGCAAAAGGAGGTTTTGAGGGGGAGATAATTTAGAAGCAACTCGGGTGGACGAATCAATAAAATAACACCATGAAGAAATAAACGTAATAAATACAAACAAAAGTCAGGCATAAAGAATAGAGTCATACATTAAAAATGTGTAATACAGATTTTTTTAAGGCATAAAGTCCTATGATAATACTTTAAGAGAGGCATGGAAACATTTCTATAGCAAACCAAAGAAATTTGTGAAAAAATAAGTAGCAATTGAGATGGAAAAATTGAGAAATTCTTGACGCTAAGCGAAAATGTACATGTGATTAAAAAAATTTAAATAACGCTAAAATTCAAAATATTGGGTACAATCGAGAAAATAAACTAAAATCTTCCAAGAAGTGAGAATCCGAATAACTGCCCAATCAATATGGTGATAATGTTCGGATGGAAAACCGTAATCTTTCAGATACTGGCGAAAGGGAAACTTTCATATTATGTATTGGATTGCTCCAGCTTTTCCTTACATTTATTTCATTGGCAAGGCTACGAAAGCTTGTGCTGCATTTATTCCATATCTTCAAGAATTTGGTGTTTTACCAACTACCGCTACAGCTGATGACTATTTCCATAGTCTAACAAAATGAAAATTAATTGCGCACGCATTCCCAAATAGACGTTTAAAATCCCGACAAGCACAATCATATGTCCGACAAACGAAATTCCGAATGAATGACATCCCGAATGCACGAAACTCCCTGATAATTTTGGCATTCCATGCATTTAGTATGCTATATTTTTGGGATTTCGTGCGTTCCGGATGCCGTTTTTTCGGGATTATACAAAATCCCAACAACATAATCCCGACATTTCATAAGCCCGACAAACGAAATCCCGAATGACGGCACCCGAACCAGACCTATTTAGTTAAATTACTAAACTGCAAATTTTGAAATTTATTTAGTTTATTTTTGGGAGTGCTAGTTTTTGGTACTACACAGTGAAACTCGATATAACGGATGGGTTCGACTATTAGACAAAAACTCTACTATATTGAGACTTTACTAATAATTCCATTATATCGAATAGGATTCTATATACAGTACTGTACTGTTCTGGATCTCGATCTGTTATATTGAGATTTTAATTAGATCTGTTATATCAAATATCCGTTATATGCTGACTTAATTCTCATTCAGTATCTTTTCAACTAAAAGATAAAAATAAAACAAGAGTATATATCAAATAAATATTAAACTAAAACTTTTATACTTGGAGAAGCTTGCAAAATCTTTTCAATCAATAAATAATATATAGCATATTTAAAGTTGAGATCTTTAAATATACTTATTTTTCAGGCAAGAAAATCTGATATAAATTTATTATAATAGAAAAGATAAATAAAAGTAATTTATAAAATAAAAATTAAAAGAGTAATTATAAGATAAGTAAAATTTAATTGTTAAAAATAAATTAGAACTTTCAATATATTTATTTCAAGTTTTTAAGTTAGGATATTTATATATTTTTAAGATTATATAAAATGATTAGTATCTATTAAATATTAAGCTAACTATTATAATATATATTATATAAGTATCTAATAGACTTTTATAAATAACTAAACTAGAATTTTATAAATAACTAATAAATATCTAATAAGAACTTAATTTTTACCTTATCTCTTAATTGAAATAGAAAGTTACTTATTTATAACTCATTATAATTCAAATATAAAAAATAATTAAAATACATAATAAATAACATCAAATAATAATAATAATAAAGAAAATTAATAATAAAATAAAAAATATCTAAATATATCTCATAAAAATATAATAAGATGCAAATAAATATTTAGATAAATACATATAAATTAATAATAAATTTCTAATATAATTAATATATTAATTATATTTATTTAAATTATAGATCTTTTAAGAAATATCTAATTAATCAAAAATTTTAAATTTTGAAAATTACAAAATTAAAAAATTTATATTATTATAATAATATTTAATCTCTTTAGAAAAGATTAAACTTTAGTAAAATCAATTAAATACTTAAAAATTTCTTAATTTCTTCTTTCTTAAAAGTAATCAGATTATAATAAGTAATTCTTTGAAAGTTATAGACTTTTTGAATTTATATTTTTGTAATATTATAGTGAATCTGATAAGTGAGTTTTTACTTGAATTTACTTTAATAATATTGAGTTAGAAGAAACTGAATTAATTAATAATAAAAAGAGAAAAATTAGATTATAACTTTAATACTGGCAAAGATTTCTAAGATTTGTGCCAATATCTATAGATATTATCTTTAAAGATGCAAAATATAAAAGAAAAGAATAATATAAATGAAAAAATTATAATAATTAATATGTAAAGTTACTATCAATTAGATATAATTCAGAATTTAAAATAATTAATAAGTAAAATTACTATTAATCAAAGAAAATTATAACTAAAGAAAAATATAAAACTAGAATAAATAATAAAATAACTAACTAAAAAGAATATAACTTATTTATAATAAAAATCTTCTACTCTCAAAAATAAATAAAATTAAAAGTATAACTTATTTATAGTTGAGATTTTCTACTCTTAAAAATATAAAAATCAATATCTCAAATTAAAATTAATATAATATTATAAATAAAATCAAAATCAACTTTGTATAGTCAAAAAAATAAAATCAAGTGAGAAAAAGAATACTAGTATAATTAAAAAAGAAATCAAAAGATTATTATTATAATAATAATAAGCTTTTTAATTATATTTTCAAATATTTCAATTCAAAACTATATATTTCAAGCTAGAATAGCAGGTTTTTTTATATATTTTTTGAATATATAAATTATTATAGTATTATTAATTAATATTATTAAAATATATACATTATTATATTTTAGAATTAAAATATTTTAATTATAAAAATTTATATAGATTGAAATCTGATTATTTTACTAAAATATAAATATCAATAATATTAATAATATTAATAATATCAAGATTTTATGAAGAATGAAATATAATCAAAAAGATCTATAACTATATTAACTAATTATTCTATAAAGTATATTTAAATAATTATATATATAAAATATAAATCTAAATATAATATAGATAATTAAAAATATAGATCTCTAATTTAGAGAATAAAATATAATATTTAGAATATAAATATAAATATAAAAGATAAATATAATAAATAAAATAAATATATAATTAGATAAAATAAGAATAATTATATAATAAATTATAAAATTATAAAAAAATAAAATTTATATAATCAAAAAAAGATTATAAAATTAGAGAATTTTATATTACTATAATAATATTTAGTTCTTTTTCAGAAGATTTTACTTCTGTAAAAATTAAGCAATAATTTTAATATCTTTTTTCTTTTCAAATAAAATAATTTGAATAATATAAAATCAAATTGATTAATAAGTACTTCTTTTTCAAATTAATAAATAAGAATACTTTTTGAATAATATTTTATAATTTCTTATATACTTATTTTTCAAGAGAATCATTAATTTCTCTTTTAATTTCTAATATATTCTTTAAATATTTATGTAATTGAATTGAAAGTAAATAGCTAAGTTTATAGTATTAAATTATCTTTTTATTATTGTTAAATGATTAATTATAAATTATAAATATTACTTTTTCAAGTTTAATTGATAGTATTTTTTTCAAAAATAACTTCAGGTTCATCTTCTAAAGTAATAATAATAAATATATTTAATTAGTTAAAGTTTAGTTTGGTAAATATCTTAACTAGATCTGAGAGTACTTTAATAGATTTAATTATTAGTTAAATTTTCAAAATAAAAATATTATCTACTTTAATATCTTTAGTAAATTCAGATTGCATAAGTAAATTCAAAAGAGAAATATAAGTTTCTTGTTTTTTATTATTATAAATAAGTAATCTAAAGATTAAAAATATAATTATTTCAAAAAATTATTAAATAAATAGTTTTTGATATATCTCTTCAAGAAATTTAATAATTTGAATAAGATTTAAGTTGGTAATTAAGATATAATAATAAAAAAAATAATATATATAAAGTAATATAAAAAGGTAAAAGATTATAAAAATAATATGTATTTGATATAAGATAAAAAATATAAAAGAATAAAGAAAAAGATAAAGAGAGAAAAGGAGATATTTATATAAATTTTGAACTAATAATCTATTAAAAATATAATATTAAAATTAAAATTTTTGTATAAGATAAATATAAAGAAGAATAAAATATGATAAAAGATAAATTTAAAAATAAGTATTACAAAAATAAAGATATATTCATGTAAGTTGCTTAATAATTTGTGATTTAAAGTAATCTTGATATTTATAATAATATTTAATTATCTTTTATTAATAAAATATTTAAGAATATTTCTATTTTGAGTTTGAAGTTTATAAGAATTATATTTAGTATAATCATGAATATAGTACCATTTTTTACTTTAAGT